CTTTACCGCTGCTTATAGTCTGAAGCATGGTGTTGACCTACTTCTAACTGATCAACAAAAAGCGAACCCAGCAGCTGCGCGGACACAACCTGATACATACACTGCAGAAAGTGCACACAAAGCCCAAGGTAATTTTGATTCACCCATGAGTTTCGCTTCAATTGGAAAATTTGAACAACTTAACGACGTGCGGGTAAATGTGTTCCAGTACCACAAGGGAGATTTGTTGCCTATGTATATATCAAAACGACCAAACCAAGATAACAGCACCCAAACTGAAATATTTGACATGGACCTGCTTCTCTTGTATGAGCCTGCAAAGCATCACTATGTACTTATAATCGATTTGTTAAAGTTCATCTGCGAAATCAAAGGGTGTAAGTATCGCCCAATTGCACGTTTATGTAGAAACTGCTTTCACATTAGTTGGAGTGATGAAACTCACGAGCAACACATCCAGTGTTGTAAGGATCATGAACCTGCTCTAGTAGTCATGCCTTCAGCAGAAAAAGGTACCAACAGATACGAGTTCAAAAACCTCCAGGCCTTGTGGTTTGTACCACTTGTGATTTATTTTGATTTTGAATCATTTCTGAAACCTGTAGATTCTTGTCCTGATAATCCATCGCGATCATCTACCCGAGTTGTACAAAAACACGAAGCTTGTGGGTATTCATTGGCTGTAATTGAGCACGGAAATTCACAGCCCTACTTCTTTGACTATGACAGCTCTGATCAATGCATGAAAAAGTTTCTCAATCAGTTGCATCAATTAGCGAGAGAGATATATGATCAAAAGCGACGGTTTCCTCAATTTCTAGAAAGCCAAGAATCGTTGAACAAAGAAAACACATCAACATGTTGGATTTGCTGTATACATTTTACCAATGAGCACGAAAAATGTCTTGACCATTGCCATTTTTCTGGAAAATTTTTGGGATGGGCACATGAAAAATGCAACCTCGCAAGACGAACTGTAAATTTCACCCCAGTCATTGGACATAACATCCAGAACTATGACCTTCACCACATTTGTCTCGCATTGCATGAATGCGAGCCAACAAGTACAATGAGTGTTATACCTAGCACCGACGAAAAATATATATCGTTAAGCATTGGAGTCCTAATTAAAACTATAAAAAGGAAAAACGGATCCGAGCAAAAAGTTTTTGAATACCTCAGATTTATTGACTCATGCAAGTTTTTGAATTCTTCCTTGCAAAAATTGGTTGATAATCTACCAGCGGAAAAAATGTCAGTTTTGAACAAGTATTTTGCAAACGAGACGGAGGAGCAACGGTGTCTGATACGACAAAAAGGTTTCTACCCTTATTCGTACATGACCAAAAGAGAAAAATTTGCAGAAAAAGAATTGCCTCCTTTGCAAAATTGGTCCGATGTTTTGAATGGAGGAAAAGTTGCAGTTTCACAAGCGGATCTGGAGCATGCAAGGAAAGTTTTTAGAATGTTCAAATGTCAAAACTTGGAGGATTATCACAACTTGTATCTCAAGTGTGATACACTCCTTCTTGCTTGCGTCTTTGAAGAATTTCGACAAATTAGTCACCAAACTTATGGTCTGGACTGCGCGCACCATTTTAGTGCTTCAAACTTAGCTGGAGACGCCTTCAAACGTATCTGCAAAGACTCGAATGTTCAGCTTTTATCAGACCGCAGGCATCTCGAAATGGTCGAGAATATGATGCGAGGTGGCACTGCATCCGTGTTCCATAGTCGCTTTTTCAAAGCCAACAACAAAGAATGCCCCGACTTCAACCCAGATCAACCTAGCACCTACGGGTTTATGATCGATGCAAATAACCTCTATGGCGGCGTCATGCAAACGGAGAAATTACCGGTGCGTAACTTTGAGTTAATAGAGCATATAGAAGACGAGGTGATTGTGAACCAAATCCTCAACATGACTGAAGACTCTTTGATTGGATTTATATTGGAAGTTGATCTCGAGTACCCAGAAGAACTGCATGAGGATCATCAAGATTACCCTTTAGCTCCTACTAAAGAAAGTGTACCCCAGGATTGGTTGAGTCCCTACCAAACGAATTTACTCGAGCAGATGAAAAATCAAGACATTGCAAGACGTTCAATTGGAAAGACCAAAAAGTTACTGCAGACGCTGCATGACAAGTCAAACTATACAATTCATTACAAACTATTGCAATTGTTTGTTAGGTTGGGACTTAAAGTTAAAAAAGTGCACCGTGTGCTGAAGTTTGAACAAGAAGCATGGTTAGAACCATACATCACATTGAACACGACTAAACGACAACAAGCTAGAAATAAATTTGAGGAGGATTTGTACAAACTACTGAACAATTGTGCTTATGGGAAAACATGCGAGTCGAAGCGCAAACGGATGCTTGTTCGAATAGTTAGAGATTATCATGCCGCTTTGCGAGAAATTAGTGCATTCGAATTTAAATCCTACAAAATTTTTGGAGAAAACTTGGCAGCGTTCACTTCGAACCCAACAAAAATCTATTGGGATGTTCCAACAATTGTGGGAGCTAGTGTTCTTGAGTTAGCAAAGTTTCACATGTATAAATTTCATTACGATATAATGAAACCAAATTTTGAATGTCAACTACTGTATTCTGATACAGACAGTCTCCTGTACCAAGTCAAAAGTGAAGATTTATACCGAGAAATTTCCGAAAAAAGGAATATTTTGAATGAACTTGACTTGTCAAATTACCCGAAGAACCACCATCTCTACGACCCAAAAAACAAAATGGTTGTTTTAAAATTCAAGGATGAGTTTCCAGGAGACATTATAACCGAGTTTATATCCCTCAAACCCAAGCTTTATTCCATTTTGTCCAGAGGTAATTAATTAATTTCTATTTGCCTTATTTGTGAGCACGAATTTCAAAAAATTTTGATTTTTTGTGGAATTTTTTTTGGAAAGCAATTTCTATTTGTGGGCGAAAAAATTTTTTTTTTGTGGGCGAAAAAAATTTTTTTTGTGGGCGATTTTTTTTTGTGGGCGAAATTTTTTTTTTTTTTTTTGTGGGCGAAAAAAATTTTTTTTTGTGGGCGATTTTTTTTTTGTGGGCGAAATTTTTTTTTTTTTTTTTGTGGGCGATTTTTTTTTTTGCGGACGATTTTTTTTTTGTGGACAATTTTTTTTTTTTGGAAAAAAAAAATTTTTTTTTTCGAAAAATTTTTCGGGCGAAAAAGTGTTTTTTTTTTTTTTGCAAAAAAATTTTTTAATTTTTTTTGGGATTTTTTTTTTTGTGTTGGTCGATTTTTTTAATGATGACTAATTTTTAAGGTCACACCTGGCCTTCATGTCATTTTTTTTTGTTGCACCTGACCTTCAAGTTAACATGATGTAGCTCCTAAAAAACACAAAACCACAGATTGCATTTGGTTCTTTTTTTACCACCACACATTAGTGATCATCAAAAAATTGATTAGAAATCATATAATTATATTTATAGATTGCAGAAAATTATCGGCGAAGGGTGTATCGAAAGCTGCTCAGAAGATGTTGAGCCATCAGCGATATCGAGACACCTTGACCTCTGGCTCGTTATTCAAAACTGAAAACAGTCGAATCGCATCCGAGTCACACAATCTGCAAACAGTGACTTCGACGAAAACATCGTTATCAGCTTTTGATGACAAACGCTACATCCTCGATGATGGTCAGCAGACTCTTCCCTACGGTCACAAAAACATCTTGGGTCAAACTGTGATTGGCATTGATGATAGTGATGACAACACAGCCGCTGTTAATTCTGACCCAACCGATGATGACGATTTGGAAAAATGGATGCCATTTTTTGAAGATCGTCAACAGCCAGTGTCGTGGGATTGTGACGATTTCCTAGATGGGGTGTCTGAAGAATTCGCTAACACTCAAAACATTAATTGGGACCATCCGGAAATTGATGATGAATACTCTGAGGATAGTTTTGCTGTTGAGAACACACAACCACATCGCTCGCTTCGACAACTGATGGACCAGGTCAATAGCAGTTGGCAAACTCCAGACCCCGGTCTGATTCGGGCAGCAGAAACCAACGACAGTGATATTGATAGCGGGGATATCGCGGATCTGGAGGCCAATACTTCCGATGAGGACGAGTCGTCATTCTTCAACGATTCGTTTTTCGATTATGAAGCAGTTGAAGTAGAAGAACCACGGTCAAAAAATCGACGAATAGATTAAAACACAAAAAACACCACATTAACTTTTGAATAGTAAATAAAATTCAGTTATTTAATATGAGAATTGTCTGTACATAAAATTTGACCTACCGTTTATTCCGCGTTTAGTGTGTATTTAAGTGCGAGATTTTGTTCAGCTTTGGAACTCAGTTAATCTGGGATATAAACATTTTCATTTAAGCGATAGTGTCTTAAGCATACTTTTGTATGTATTTGTATGTAATTTGAGTTTGAATCAAAGTTTTAAGAAGAATTGAGCAAACAGTCTATAGCGCAGTTAAACACTCCGGCTGGTTTCAGAACAAAGATTTGGCAAATCCTTTCCCGCTCCAAACATGTAACCACAACGTTCAGTGGGAATACTCAATAATATACCGAAGTTTTACATGAGGACTATTGGGTATAAAATTATATGTGGTGACAATTAGGATTATTACATGGTGACCATTGCTGATCATTTAATACATGGTGACCATTATGATTTATACCTAATGGTCATCCATGTATGACAACCCCCCCCCCCGATCCTAACGCACTATATGCATACTACTGGTGTGGATTGTACGGTTGATTCGAGGAAATAATACCTGACATATAAACGACCTTCTCACAAAAGATACAACATTCTTTCTTTTTCAAAACAGATTCCAAAAGGAACCACGATCTTAAATTCATTTTCTTTCTAAACATCAATTGAAACCAGAAAAAATTTTAAAAGAGAAAAAACCCGATGTATTCTATGGAATCAAATAAAGCTTCGTCTGCAGTAAATAAGTACTCGACTTATAAAACTATCAACTCACAAAAACGAATCCGTACTCTTTGCTGTCACCCGAAACATCTTTCATCAGCTCGACGTGATCCAAACTGCCGTAAGGTTTGAACACTTTCCCCAGCATCTCCTGAGTAATCTGGGGGTGCAGATTGCTCACCATCACTTTAGTAGGTCCGTGAGTATAGCCCCCGTGAAAAGTCTGACTCGTGTTACAGTAAATTCTATTCTTTTCTGCTTGGCTCTGCTGAACTACAATTGGGATTCCCAAGATTTTCCGTCCGCTCAGATTTACAGCCTAAACATGAAAAAAATAATTATTAATGACAATTAGGACTGAACTAATTACGAGAGTCGTTTGAGTTCTTCGCCCGGTGATATTGCGAGAAGCTCCCGGCAACTGCGTTAACTTCACGAATCAGTTTCCCTGCTGACCTGAAAGAGCAACGCTTGATACTTTTGAGTTGCGATTTGAGAAATGTTTCAGATTTAAACCTATCATGCTTGAAACACTGCCGTCAATCAGACCTTTGCATTACCGTTTAATTTCGAAAGTCTCCGATTTCAGCCTTGAGATGAGAGATTAGTGGGTCCTAAACGAAAAACAATATCAGCACAGAACTCACAATAAGTCAACCTCTCAAAACCATAAGTTCGCTATGAGCATAAGTATCATTTTTAACTTCCTAAGTGTAAGCGCGTCTCCCCAGTTTAACTTACTCTTTTCCAGGGAACTCGACTAAACTCCGTTGAAATTGAAGCAATCAAGGCCAGCGATGTAGAAACAACAGTTGATTCACTAAAACTTTCTCGATTCATTATATGTCCACTTATTTTAGGCCGTTACCTAACACTCCTCACAGTCTTTATAATGTATCTTTCAAAACTCAAGGTATGTTATCCATAGCTTCCTTAGAATCTATAGGTTCCCAAAATGATATCGTTCATTAAGCGGTTTCACGCCCCTCTTACAGAGACCTAATATTTATCATTTTAAGCTTACGTAACAGTGCTGATTTAAATTATACGGACTAAACGAAAAAAAATTGAAACTTACGGCTTCTCTGAAATTGGGTTAAGATTAGACAAAAAGTGAAGAGAACAAAAGTTTCTTAGAATTTCACCAGAATTATTATGGTGAAATTTTTTTTCGAAATTCGCAGCCAACATTTTCCCCCAAAAATGGATCATTTTGAGTTTTTTAGTTAATCAAGAATTACGCAATTACATTGAAATTACCGAGTTAATTGATGAGAGAGTTGCAACAAAAGAAGCCTCTTACACAGCCCAACAAAGTTTTACAAGGTAAAAATTTCAAAATTTTGCGCAAAACGTTTGATATTTGTTTTAAGCAAAGACTTTTATGACCTTTTATGGCTATCAAACAAAAACATATTCTCTTATAAAGATATTTTGAAAATTTATCGTTCTAAAACTTTGTCGAACTGAGTAAGAGGCTTCTTTTGTTATAACTTTCTCATCAATTAACTTGGAAGTTTCAAGGTAACTCGCGATTAACTTAATCAAAATGACCAAATTTTGGGGAATATTTTGGCTGCGAATTTCGAAAATATAGTCCAGCTGCGAATTATACTGGACTATATTAATTCTGGTGAAGCTCTAAGCAATTTTTGTTCTCTTCATTTTTTGTGTTATCTTAACCCAAATTGAAAATAAAGCCGTTAAATTTTTGTTCGTGTCCAGTTAATTTATATCAGCGCTGCATAGCACTGAAGCAAGTACACTAAACTGAGAACTCCATTACGGTTCGAGAACAATTATAGTGACAATGGTATCTCACGTATAAATACATACTAGAGGATCCCTGTAATACCTTTGGAACTGCGTTGATGTTGTCGAACTCTATGTATGCGACACCTTTCGAAGACCTCGACTTGTGGCGACTTCGCTCTCCAATGATACGGACGTCCACTATCTAAATGAAAAATTAAGTGTCACTAAACTACAATAACAACCTACTAAGAATTGAACCGCTCCAAAAACAGTCGACAGAGATTCAATGGGCAAAAATAAAAGGATATATTAATTTCATAACTTTGCAGACGCGGCGAAGCTGAGCTTGGCACCACTTGCGATTAAAAAGTATAGGATTACAACGACCAAACACTATAAAACTATCGAAGAGGACTTCGAACAATGTTACGTTGAAGAAATAACTAGAAAATACTAAAACATAGCCAACTGACAGTTGGAAAAGAGTAATGAACGCAAGGAAACAGAAAAAACTGACGAATTTTAAGGAAAAAATATATGCCCTTAAAGCTCTTTGAATTTCACAAACAAATTATGTTTGATCTTTTTTTGACAAAATTTCCAAACATTTTTGACAAAACTTCCAAAAATTGAGAAAACTGGATCATAATTTTTTTTAGCTTGGTAATCTGATCATTAAATTTCATTTTCGAAATTAGAAGTCGATCAATTTTTCGTGACCTTTACATTTGCGCTGTTCAATAGGGAAGTTTGCCCTCTTTTTAACAAACGAAATGAAGTGAACTTAAAAAATCAAAAGTCAAACTGCGAAAAATCAAAATTGAGCGAGAACAAATTCCATGACTTTTTCCTCACAAAACAAAAACATATCACTGAGACCTATACTTCGCTCATTTTTCTTAAAATCGAAAGTTATGAATGTTTAAATTTCGCTCTTTTCCCTTGTCCCCCTCGCAAAGCAAATTTCCGTTTTTTTAATCCAATTAACATCAAACTTTTCACAAGGATGTCTAAGTGACCGGAAGTTGCATTTTTTTCTAACTTTCTGCTTAAAAAAATTGAAAAAGCTCCAAAATGAACTTCATAGAGTTGAACAACGTGCTCTTTTCCAGTTCCCCCCTTTAATTTTTTCTGAAATTCATTACATGAAAGTCTAATTAAAATGGCTTTTCATGTTATAAACTGCAATAAAACGTGTCAGCGTGAACAGGTGAACAAATTTCTACAACATTTCTAACATGCAAATTGCCATATGAACAATTTATGAACATCTTTGTTTTGTAATTTAACAAGGGGGTGGGAAACTGGAAGAGAGCCGAACAACGTTATACAAGATAAAACTGACTTTATCAATTTAAAAGTTAAAAAGGATTGTTACATGCAGAGAGATGCTGTAATAAATGTGGTCTATGATGAAATTACACTGAACTGAAATGGATGACAATGTAATACAAAAAAGTGCAGACATCTATCCCAACTAAAAAGCGGAACTTGGTTTCATGGGGCACATCTATCATCTATCATAAAGCAAATTCATTTTACTGATTTACTGTTGAGCAAATGAACACACAAATGTTGCGTTTTGCCAAAAAAGGTATGAGATATCTTTTACAAACTAATCCTTTGAAAATTGGGGAGTTGACAAATTGTAAAGCAAGACGAGCGTCTTTTTACAAACAGAAAGTATAATTGTGGCCATGCTGTCAAAGAGCAATGGGTTTTTGGCGGAACTTGAAGGGAAACCGCTGAACCCTTTCTGTATGCTGTATAACAAAATGGAAAAAAAAATGATTCCAAGTAATGAATCATCACTCGACGACAAAAGAACAAACATTTCTGACGAACAGAAAAGTTATTCAAAAATTGAACAAAAACCGGAGAAGGAAACTAGTCATTCTAAGCTTCAAAGATCCAAAAACTGGAGCATGTAAAAACAAAGTTGAACGCATGTGGAATGTAGCAAAATCAAGAAACAGAAAAAGGTGGGGAACTCATCGTTCAATGCTAGACAGCTAGTTATCTGTTTGAATTTATGTGGGAGACAAAAAAAAAAACGGTAAGACTTATTTGAATAACCCTATCGTAAAAAGCAACTTTAGAAGGTGGAGGAAACGGGAAAAAAAGCCTTAAACTTGTTTAAGGTTTTCATAGACCTCCAAGTGGGGTTCATTTTGAGCTTTTAATAATTTGTCGACTGAAACTTATCGATCTCATAAATTATATCTCCATTAAAATGCGGGGTGGTATACACAAAAACCGAGAACTTAATCGGCAAGCATAAAGCCGAAAACCATCAGCAAAAAAGTAATACCAATTTTTTACGATTCAACACCAAAAAAAAACAAATGTCGAAAGATTTTTAAATGTTTAAAAACTAGGTGAACCAATATTTTTGTATCTCTAGATACAAAATAACTAGCAGGTCCAGCTAAAACTGGTGATATTTAATTGATATTAAACAAATTTGTTTGTTGTTTCTCTACTAAAATAAGTGAGAAAATTAAAAAAAATTGAGATAATCAATTATTCCAGGGTGATTGCAATTCTCCTACAAAATTAGGGAGCCGCCGCTTCTGCAAGAACCATTATCGCAACCAGTTTTTTCATTTGAACTTAGCATCTCAGATTTGATTGTTTGGAATTTAAAACATTAAAGCAGTTTATAAAAAAATGGTCGAAACGGATAAAAAAATTTCTAAATCCATAATCTTTCCTGCGAAAAAGTAGGGCAAAGCCGCTAGTGCAGAAGGGATTCTTTCAACCTGTAATTTCAATTGAACACAATCTCTAATGAGGCTGGGTAGTTTTCGAGAATATTAAGAAAGTTTGAAAAACTGTCGAAAATCAAAAATTTGAGTATTCCGAGGGCCATAACTTAATGTGTTAAAAAAATTTCGGTGCAGCCGCTCATCCAGAGAGCTTTTCGAAAAGCTCATGCAGAACGCTTTTCGTTTAAAACAAATTTCATTTAAGAGGGGTATTCTTTGAGAAAACGTTAAAAAATCTGGGGTAAAAACTCCCCCACAGGCTTTTCCGAAGGCTGTAGATAGAGGGGTCAAGTAAAAAGAGACTAGGGGAATAAACAGGCACACAGGGGAGTATGCGGTCTTTCAATTGATACCCATTTTTGAAAATCAGTAAAAGCTTTTGAGAAAAACTGATATTTTTCCAAAGAATTTGAAATTAGTTTTAAGTGCGGAGGGGAGTGTTCAAAATTAGATCATCGGGCCGATAAAAAATAAACAAACACGCGCAGCAAAAACAAATGATTTCAAGATGTATCCGGGCCAACTTAGCCTGGAGGTAACGAATTTGCCGGTGACGGCAGAAATTGTTGGTTCGAATCTGACCATTGCCCAGATGAACCTTTTTTTTCGGGAAGGAAAAGAAAAAAAGAGAAGAAATAAACGAGAGTATTGCTGAAATGAGTCAAACAGTGGTTGATCTGAAAAGAGCGTTTGTCGAGACACACCTGGAGTAGAAACTAGCTGGAAAGCAGACATCGTAGACGGAATTAAAGAATCAATGAGAGAACTTACTGTTGGGACGAGTGCAACGAACATCGCAGAAGCAGCTGATAGCGCTCGTGCACGAGTGTCTCCGGCACAAGAAAGCAGACCAGCAGATGATGGAGTAGTGCGTTTACGAGGCTTGCCTGAGCCCTGCAGGCTTATGAATGAAATGATGAAAAATGACTAGGAAGAGGCACAAAAATTGCTTGATCATATGGAAGTTGAGGGAAAGATACTTGATGTTCGTAGATTGGGACTTCCAGCTGAGGGAAGAACAAGAACAATTTTGGTTACCCTAGACTCTTCCTTCACCAAGCGGATGGTTTTGGCATCTCTGGCCAAACTGAGAAACTATGAAAAAAAGATTTTTCTTTCGCCTGATCTTTCTGATAAAGAAGTTGAACTCGAGCAAGCTGCTCTAAAGAAAAGAAAAGAGTTAATCCTGAATGGAGAAAGCAGGAATAATTTAAGAATCAGAAAGCTGCAATTGGAAGTCAAGAGTGACGGGCAATGGACTCCGGCACAATGACTAACAAGTAGTACCTCTCAAAAGTCATTCAAATGCAAGATAATGCTGATAAATACAAGATCCCTCAAAAAACCTGGAGCTTCAACAAGTTTAAGTCTTGATCTGTACCAGAAGTCTGTAGATATCTGTCTAGTGACAGAAATTTGGCTGAACAAAAGTATCGACTCAGCTTGTGTGTATCTCAAAGTACACACTTGTTCGGAAAGACAGAAACACTGACAGTTCTGAAAAAAGTCACGGCGGAGGCGTAGCAGCATATGTGAAAACTCCAATTGAGCTTACGCTACTGGAGTACGAGAGTCAAGGCACCGAAATGCTATGGTTCTCAACAGTCCTGCAGCGGAACAAGTTTGTGTTTGGAGCTGCATACTACCCCTATCCGTCAACAAAGTCGATCTCTATACAGAACACATTCTTTCAGTGTATGATCAGCATCTATCTGAAGACGTGGAGACAGTTATTACTCTGGCTGGTGATTTCAATGATTTTGACGTCAAGCTGATCACAGAGGCAACAGCTCTAGACAGTCTCTACCATGGCAAGACCCACAAAAACTCGCAATTAGATTTCATATTCACAACTCACCCAGCTTACTACAAATCGACTTACACCTTTGATGTCTCTTTTTACCAACCGACCACGCGGGTATAATTAGCGAACCAGCGACCAATTATAAACCGAAGAAAAAAATTTTGTTTTGTCAGAGACCAGCGGGCGCACAAAATCCAAGCTTTGAATCTAGCGATGGATAGATTCGATTTTTCCGTGGTCTCGAAAATTGATGATCCCAATGAAGCAACCAGAGCACTGCTCGAAGCACTTAGTACCCTGCTCAACGAGAACTGCCCCGTGAAGAAAATCAAGATGACTGACAAAGACCCACCCATGTGTCCCCAATGATCAAGCTGCTCCTCAAAAAGAAATCGAAGCTCTTGAAATCTAAGAAGTTCACTGATACGGAGGAGATGAACTCTAAGATAAAGCAACTGATGTATGAGAATATTAAGGATCGTAAAGCAAACTTGGTCTCGGGTTAATGGTGCAACCTCGTCAAATATTACACCGGTAAACAGCAAGCAAATGCTCCTGTCATTAATTTTTCTTGCGATAAAATTAAGAAGCTTTTCACAAAAGTTTCGACCTCTTTAAACTATGAAGAGCCACTTCCTTTGGATACTTCCTCAATCACTCCTCCGGAACTTACGCTGCATCAAGTTTACTATTCACTGCTGAGAATCAAAAAGACTGTTACTGGTCATGATGGCATACCTTACTACCTGCTTAAAGATAACGCACACAACTTAGCAGAACCTTTACTGAAGATATACAACAACTGCATAAGGACATCAGTGTTCCCATCAATTTTCAAAATAGCGAAAATCTGCCTGAAACCGAAAGTTGGTAAAGTAACATCGCTGGACGATCTGAGGACCGTAGCCATCACTCCCGTGCTCGCACGGCACTTTGAAAGACTTATTTATGACAACTTCATTTTCAGAAAGTAGAACTCATGGCTGCCCCCGGACCAATACGGATTAAGAAAAAACTCTTCAACACAAGACGTACTGATACGTTTACAACACACTTGCAAAGCTTTTGACGAAGTTGGTTGTGACTACGTTCGCATTATTTCTTTAGACCTGAGCAAAATCTTTGATAGAGCTCCGCATAAACTCAAAATCAAGAAAGTATCTGAAATTCCTAGCATGGATCCCTTCATTGTCAATCTATTAACGAATTATCTCACAGGAATGCAACAGTATGTGACAAAAGACAATGAAGGTTCACAAATGAGAACAACCAACAGGGGTGTGCCTCAAGGAACGGTGCTAGGGCCCCCATGCTTTAACGCTGCCTACATTGATCAAGTAGTGGAAGCTGAGCGGTAGGTCCCAGTCAAGTTCGCTGATGACAGCAACCAATGCGTGGGAGGCAAAACAACTCAGATGATGCCCAAGCAGTTATTCGACAAATATCTACGTGGTGCAGTATAAACAACTTTGTTTTGAACACGTCGAAGTCGAAAGAAGTTCAAGTCCTATTCTCTCGCTCAGCATCAGTGGCTGCCATTCCTGGTGTCAAAGTCGAAAAAGAGTTGAAAATACTTGGGCTACACATTTATAAAAGTTTCTTTCAAACCCCACATTGAAAAAGTTGTCAAAAAAATGTCAACGAATGTGTATTTGCTTTTGAAACTCAAACAGTTGGGGTACGACAAGAGTGAGCTGGAACTTTTATACGAAGCATTGGTGAAACCGCATATTTTTTACGGAGCGTCAGCTTGGGGAGGCTCACCTGCCTATCTTCTGAATAAAATAATTGCAGTACAGCGCCTGATTGTTGAATAAGAAGCATCAAGAAGAAAGTTCATTAATCGGATACTGGGAAGACAAAATTTGGGTAGACGACTGTTGAGCCGAAAAAAAAATCAAATTTGAGCTATAAAACGTTTTAAGCTAAAGAAAACCTAAATTCCCCCCAATTTAACCTTCTGTAGCACAAAAGCAATCTAAAAAACTTGGTACTCCAGACAACGAACTAACAGGCACTTACACAGATATGCATCAGCCGAAACCATTTAAGCCGGAAAAAAAACCTTAAATCAAAAAAAAACAAAAAAAAGGAAACTCAAAACAAAGAGTTGATTTACAACCAACGATTAAATTTCGAATGGAACGGCCATTTAAAAATCAGACATGCTCAGAAAAAATCTGTTGACAGGCACTCTGTTCTATTTCTATCAGCTACCTTTCGCTGTGGCTAACAGCCGAGCTAACTGATTTTGTTAAACTAGAAAAAGGTCTATAATTCAGTTTGATAACGCTTGCTAATGGAAAGCGTACAAAAAAGCCTCAACACCAGTCAAATAAAGATAAAAACATAATAAAGAAAAAGTCAAATAGAGATGAAGTAACTAAGAAACCTCTACATTTGCTTTTAAAAAAAACACTTCGTTCATCGACACCAATAGTTAACGATTCTTACCCGTCCACAATGTCTGAAAAAATCTCGTAGATCCCGAGCTGTGATGTCTGGCGAAAGCTGCATGCAAAAGACAGTACGTGAATCTTTGTCTTCTTGAGAGAGCAGTTCGGCAAATTCAGGGTCCCTGGAGTAAATAAAATTCATTTATACGCAACGAGCTATGTATTTACTGTAATACTTAGTTTATTAACACCAAAATTTACTCACTCTCCTGAATCATGTAGAGCCTTTACGCGAGCAGGTAAATCTTTCTGAGGAGGTGCAGCCCCATGTTTCCGTTCTCTAAAAATGAACATAGATCATTTTTTTCGTCACCGAAACCTGAAAAGCTATTCACGATTTATTTAAATCTCGTCACAAACCCCGATCTTGAGCGTAAATCTTTCTGAGGAGGTGCAGCCCCATGTTTCCGTTCTCTAAAAATGAACATAGATCATTTTTTTCGTCACCGAAACCTGAAAAGCTATTCACGATTTATTTAAATCTCGTCACAAACCCCGATCTTGAGCGTCTGCGTCTTTCGTGGTCTTTTTCCTTCCGAATTCGATCTCTGCTAGTACTTCTCTCTTTTCTCTGGCTTCTAAAACAAATTTCGATCCATCGCATTCTAGATACCAATTTCATCAAAAAAGTATAAAATCTATACGAACTTATCGTCACGAGGGGGTGGGGAATATTTGGATGACGATGGTGTTATTCCATAATTACGATGAGACCGTTCTCGGTTGCCATCGCGCTCACGAGCATGGATGCGATCCTTGGGACTTCTTTCACGCGATCTCCGACGCGAATTATTTCTCTCATAACGTGAACCCCTAAAGAAATCAAATCTGAGCAACTGTATGTTTCAAAAATAATATCAGTATCGACGAGAAAAAATAGCAGAAAAATACCTTGGAGACTTTGATCGTGATCGTTTGCGAGGCTTCTAAAACATGAGAAAAAACTTTAGATTTGCTTTTTGACGCATATGAAATCCTGAAATCTTTACCTCGGCGAACGCACTTTCCAAAAGACTTTCCACCATATCATCCATGATGAACAGCAAACGATTTCTGAAACTTGACTTGACCTGCTGTTCAATTGTAAAGATACAATTTGGATACCCGGTTGAATCGCTATTGCTGTTTACGAAGTTTTCAGATAACCAATATAAATACTATTTTTCTAATTGCAGTGAGCACTTTAAGTGCCATTCTGCCAGATTGGCACAGCGCGACCTTCCGGCGGGAAAGAAAAAAACGAATAAAGGCCTTAGTAACGAAAAAGTATTGCGAAGGAGGGTAGGAATATTCTAGAATTTTTATTTTTAAAATTTCGATCGAAGAGTGAATATTTCTGAGAAATAGAAAAAGACGGCCATTTTGATTGAAAAGGACGAAAACAGAATAACGACAAAAATTGTGGAAAACGGTCGCACAAGAGACGAGAAATAAATGAATTTTGATTGAAAAGGACGAAAAAACAGAACAACGACAAATATTGTGGAAAACTGTCGCACAAGAGACGAGAAATACGAAGCCTCTTATCGTGGCAACAACACACGATAAGATCCTTAGCAGTGGAAATTAGTGGAAAAGGAAGCTTCAGTGAGGAAGGAATATTCCACGGAACCCTCCCGTGCCACAAATTGGGAGAGATAACAACGTTATCTCGGGAAGATTACGGGAGCGGAGGCTTGGTCCCCCAGAGACTGTCGTATGTGAAGGGACTATATAAAACTGACTTTGTAGCTACTTGGATATCGTGAAACTTTGAATTAACACCGGTATTATTTGATATTTTAGAATTTGAGTAGCTAGAAAGAGGAAAGGGTCAATCCATCTCCAATGGATTCAATATAGAACTGTCACACAAAAACATATTAAAAAAGGGTATTCGAGCGGTGTTTTTAATAGCAATCACGTAGTCTGAGGATCCGAGACTCAGTTATGTGGTTGTGTTCGCATGTAAACGAAAGCTGATCAAAAGTCGTTTGACTGATGCCCTAAAAATAGTATCTTTATACTTAGCCCTAAACAGACCAGAAAATCAACTGGCAAGGTCGAGACGGTGACAAACGAGTAGGATTAAGGCAACTGACGCCTGCCAGTCGTTAATAGGTACTTTTTCTACGCTCCGTCGCTGTGTAGTATTTGGGCGAATGTTACATAGACGTTTTTAGGGCGCTCCTGGGTGGGCCTGTCAAAGGCATAAGACCATCATGATCAGCAAGCGTTTCAGCGACGAACCCTCCGCTCCGGGCGTAAGCCCGAGTTAGAGGTCCTAATGACCGTTATTGTACTAGGGGGAAGGTGCGTACCCTCCGTCTAGTACTATTTAGCTTTTTAACTTAGTTAACACCAAAAATTCCGGGGGCCGGAGGGTTAGGTGGGAAATCTAGAGCCCGCTTGTCCCAAGGTCCCGGGACCAAAAACAATTAATGAGAAAGCGTAAAACCAAACAAAAATAGTGTATAACCAAGAAAAAGCCAAAAATAAATTTATTTGAAAACAAAAAACTACAAAAAACAGTAAAAAAAATCCAAAAAAGACCAAAAACAGTAAAAAACATAGAGTAACAGTTTTTGTGTTGTTTCCGGGCAAGATGTGATCTGACCTTCCTTTTTGTTGTTGTTTCAGATTGATTTATATCATTTCTGATAGAAAGATTGTGTGTTTTGGTGAAGGGTTGCATACCCTCCCTTGAGTGTAATTTGAGTATTTAAGCACGTTAATGGTGATTTTGCCGGTGGCCGGAGGGTAGAGTGTCACGCTGACCGACGTGTTCCACACTCAACAAGAACATCGGGGACAACATCCACAATGACTGTTGGCGCTGGGTATCGTTGAAACAATTTTGGTATCATTCGGGTACTATTTCATCAAAACTTAAGTGGTGGGGAGCACGATTGGCGCGGTCCGATTGTACCCTCCATCGTTTACAAATTTCTGAGTTAAGGGTCTTAATTTGGGTATTTTGGTCCAAAGGAGGGTATAGTACTATTCATTAACGACTACTAATAGGTTATTATCCTTATTACATATTACTTATCTCCTAACTAGACCCAGGAAACACCCAAATTTTGTCGAAAATTATCGATTTTCGACCAATCTGTAGACCCCCAAATTTTTGGATATCCGAGCTTTTCCGAACAGCAAAAAGCTCTTATATAGGGAGTAGCTACGTAGTTCAATCCCCTAACTAAAGAAACCGGGTGAGAAAAGACTCAGTAAAAGTTGGAAAAAACCAAAATTTTTTGATCAAAATTTCGATAATTTTCTGAAATTTGTCAATCTGTTTTGGGGATCGAGTTTTTGAGTTTTTAGAGTTAGAGCACTAAAATTTTTTGTATTAGGAGCGTGCTAGCATAACGTGCTCGGCTTCCAGAAAAATTCTTGAGTAACATTCTGATTAGCTCCGTAGATAGAGCTAACGACTTAAGAATTGGAAAAGGAAGGAATCTGAGGGTCCACATTTGATAGTTATTGGCCAAATTTTTGTCTCCAAACCAATTTTGGTCCGGTTTTTTGCATAATTACAGTGCCGTACAGGGCTACTACGCTCGTTTCAATTACTTTTAGGCACTTTCAATAGGAATTGCGGAAAAAGTTTCTCAGAACCTATATAGGTGGTGAAAAAAGGCCATTTGGACAAACACGTTTTTGGCAATTTCTCAAAGACTAGCCAACCGATCGGGATAATTTTGGTACCATAAGTCGACGTTTTGGACCATTTTTTTGGAAAGCAACCGTTTTTGGGTTAATTTTGGAGTGACTTATGCCCTTTAGCAACCCTCCTTAGTGGAGATTTTCCACGAGACCCTCCGAAGGAGATAAAAACAACACCCCATTGGGAGTTTAGCTTGTTTTGACGCTTTCTTAAGCTAGTTGAAGGCCCTTTTCAAAAACATGGAATTTTTGGAAGAACCCTCCGAGGTAACCCTCCGGAGCATATTAAGCCTCTTGTTGACCCTACTTAGTGAGTTAAGGGGGACCCTTCGAAGTCTCTTGGGTGACTAAGGTACCCTCCGAAGTAACCCTCCGGAGTAGGCTAAGTGTCTTAACAACCCTCCGAAGTAACCCTCCGGAGTGACTTAAACCTTCTAACAACCTTCCTTGTTGGAAACATGAGGAAACCTGTGGCAATTTGGGAAACGGAAAATATCCATTTAATTAAGATCATATTAGGATATTAAGCGTGCTTATTACAATCATAGGAGCCAATTTTAACCCGAAAATTCGTGATCAACTTTGGATTCTAGTTCGGGTGTATCGGAAGTACCCGAACAAAATTTTTTTTGATTGTGATTTTGTTTGTGTGGTTGCCTTGAGCTACTTAATAGGAAAGTTCGGGCAATCCGGGAAAAAACAAAAGAAGACCTCGGTGAGTATATTAGGCAAATACACACTCACTTGAGAAGAAAAGTTGTTCCCTGCTCTCGTGCACTTGGAGCGTTCCGGGTGTGGGGGAGCTTTTTTATAGACTTTCGAAATTTTCGGTCAGAGGTTGCCTTGAGCTACATAGTAGGACAGCTCGGGCAATCGCAGGACACCTAAAAGAAGACCTCGGTGGGTGTATTAGGCAAACACACACTGACTTGAGGAGACTGTGTCCTGGACTTCGTTCTTTCGGATTGTTCCGATTGAGGGAAGTCTTTTTCTTTAAGACTAAGTTTTATTGATCTGTTTCTGAATCATCACTGCTTTTTACCAAAGATTGTTTGATTTTAACAAAGCAGTGACTTGATAAGAGTGTGGCGGTAAAATGATACTGACGAAAGGTCGCTGTCACCTGTAGGATATTCTTATCTGATTATCAATTGTGTTTTGTTTATTGATTATATCTTGTGAAAATTTTGTGATACCGTTATACTATACAACAAGGTTGAGTTAGCATTATATCAATACTGAGTAGGCCCTGTGTGTGTAACTTTAGCTGAGTCACTAAGATTGTCATTGAGAAATCTAAGAGGCATTTTTGATACCTACGAGATCGAAGAGGCAGCGTTAAGTAATTTAACTTGAACTGGTTGCGCTACGTGTGCATCGCCATTAAATAATAAAAATATTGTTTTTTGTCACAAAGTATGCAGCGCAGGGACTCGTTGGGATCGACTAGTAAGGTTCCCAGGCTGAGCAAGGGCAGCACGCGAAAATTTAAAACTAGGCAAAGCCAGTCCTCGTTTAGCAGCGCCTCCGACGTGTTTGCCGAAACCGAATCGACTAAAGGTCAACCTGATCTTTCAGTGAGCGAAATGAAACTAAGGAGCGAGAAAAACCTCGATGGCGATCAAGGGCGGGGCGCCGAGGCCGGAACCGCGAGCGAAACGCTTGTGGACCCGTTTGACGAAGGAGAACGGACGCTCATTCGACTCGACTTTGAGCCGAGCGAGGACCTCGAGCGGGAGGAAGTTGAGAGGACGGAGGAGACCTCGGAGCGTTCCGAGGTCGAGCCGCGAGAGGAAGTGTTATTCAAGGGAATGTCCAAATTGGAGACCAAGAGTCATAGGTGGAGGAGAGAAAATTCACATTCAGCTAATACCCACTCATCTCTGGCCAAGCAGAGCAACAACGCAATGATGTCGAGTATAAGCCCGAGTGAAGAACAACCGGTTTCGAAGGCCAAAAAGAGCTGGAAGTCTTTGTACGATGAGCGCATGGCGTCACTACGAACTGAAGGTTTATCTTTCAGTTATGACTACCCGGAGATAACCCATCCGGATGTGAACTTCACACCGTGCCCAAGGAACGACATGAGCAGGAGGGCGTCTTCCGCCTCGCCGACCAGGCCCATGTCAGATGGGATAACGATGGGAGCGTCATCAACGTTCGACAGATTGATGACGTCGATGAGCAAGCAAAAAGGCGGTGCGTCATCAAGCACCAGGCTGCAGCCGCAGTTGCCCTCATCTTCTTTGGGACTAACCCCGTCATTTGGGGCCACTAGCGACATAGGTGACATGTTCGCTGGCGTAATGAATGGTCTGGATGAACTGAGACGGGACATGACTAAGAGAATAGATCAAGTTGACGAGAGAGCTCACCAGGGTCGAGAGAATCTGAGAGATGAGCTAAC